GCCTTTGACCGACCGATATCGGTCACGGTTATGACCGGTTATGACCGGTCATGACCATAACCATTAGCATCCCTAGTTTTGAATTTAAGAATTAAAAATATTTGATATATTACAGGAAGAAAAAGTTATAAGATGTCAGTTAACTTCTATCCTTACCGCCGAAACTCTTGTAGATGGTGGACTGTTGACTAATGAAATGTCAACTTATTACATATCAATTAAAGTTAGTATCACATTCAAATATATTTTATACACATCGTTCATTTATCAAATCGTTAACTATTATATATACAGGAGTCTTGTCCAACTGAAAATGATCCACTTGCTTACAGCATATATTTTGTTGATACAGCGACTGGCGAATTTAATTTTGTGTCATTTGTTGATGACATTGATCGGACTCAATTCGAAACTTTAATCATGCAAGTGAAACCAAAAGAAATTGTAAATGAAAAAGTTAGTATTTGCGAACTTAATCCAATTTTTTATAAGCAAATTGGTAGGACTATTATTTATGTATTTTAAAATTTTTCTAATAGGAATGCTTAATAAACGTTCACACTGTATTAATTGTCCCATATGGACTGGACTCATACCCGAAAGAGAATTTTGGGATGCAAATGCTACTTGGGATGATATTAGGTGTTCTCAATATTTTTCCAATAAACAAAATTTAACTGGGAAAGATGACGACGATGATAAGATAATGGAAAATAGTAATAATAGATATGACCCAGGTACCCTTTGTTTTATTACTAAACAAATTTATAACAATATTATATAATTAACCAAATTGCTGTCAATAAAATTAGAAATTTGGCCTGAAGCCATTAAAGCAGCTAAGAACAGGCCTTTGATGTTGTCCACATTAGGTGGTAGGTATAATTTTTTTAATATCAAAGTCGCTTTTTTCATTATTGTTATTTGTTTTAAATCATGTAAATTTCTAATTATAATAGAACTAATTTGGTATTTACATTTGGTAAGTTTATTTTAAAAAGATATTACGAGAAAATTTAATATATAATTTTATTATTAATATTTTTTTTTTTTGATAAATACCTACTACCTACCTTAACTTGTAATAATGAAATTCTATTGCGTAAAAAAGTTGAAGCTTGATGAGGAGTTAGTATCATTATGAAATTTCAAATTATATGATCCAATTCGTCATAGCTCTTCGCTTAATATTTTATTAGGTTTTAGTTTAAGAGGTTAATTTCATGTTCTATATTTCAATAAATCAAATAAAAAATATATTAAGTTAGATTTATTAAATAAGTAAATTTAAAATGAAAAAACTGGCATTTTTTGAATCAATTTCCGATTTGTGTAATTGTGTTTCATAATACAATATAGATAATCAATTTTTTTTATTTTTTTATTTTTAGCGAAAACTTTATTCATTTTCAATTTTTTATTTTTACTTTAACAATTTTAGTGTTTTACATAATGGAACTTAACAATGATGAAGACAATACTAATATTAGTGATTCTGCTCAAACTAATAGTACAGTTGGTATAGAAACAAGTAAAAGAAAGAAAAGAAGAGTTTTA